CCCCCCCCCCCCCCCCCCCAATCCTGGTCCGGTGAGAAGCCGGCGTGCTCCGTCCCGGCTTTGTATGGATGCGAAGTCAATGGAATGGTCTAACGACCACGGCATGCACGACTATGAGTACCCCCCGCCCCCAATCCGAAGAGCAAGAAGATCCATGCCAATCCAGCCAGTGCACCGCCGAACGGAAGGTCAGAATCGAAGTAAAAAAGGAAGACAAAACTCTAAAACGGCGGCGCGGTGGGAGGGCGCCAACAGTATTGACGACCAAGAGTCGTCATGGAATGGGCTAGAAAGACAAGGAGAAAAAAAACGCCAGCCCCGGCATGGGGATCACCAATACCTACGGCAGCCGCCATGCAAAACTCGCAACCTCGAGCACAAGGTCGGTAACAACCTGAGGAATACTCCGCGTCTACCAGCTCCTCGCCACTTTTTCGATCCGAAACAATGAGCCCCCCAAGTTGCAGACAGGGTTGGAGTTGGAGTGCGACCGATTTCTACCCACCAGAGTACTCCACTTTCGTTGTCGGCCTTTCTTTGCTTCAATCGCGGTTCCACTGGCAAAGGTACGCCCGGTGCCGGCATGATAGACACGCTCGTGTTTTGTTGTTGTTGCTGTTGTAGTGATTGTTGAAACCCTTCTGGGCTCTGCTTAGTAGTACCATCTAACATCGGTACTTGTCCAACTGACGCGGACACCTTCCCGTGGTCACAGATTTACAGTGCAGAGGAACGGACCCTCTCGTAGTAGAAAAAATACCGTTTTTGGAAGATGAACAAGGAGAGAAGCGCACCCCTCCCCCTCCCCCCCCTCTCTCCCTCGCGGGCTGCGCAACGGCCACGCGCATACTTCGCAGTGCTATCTTGAAAAAAAAACAAGCAAACGCTCACCAAGTTGGTCGAGACGAACTTGCTCGAGAACCGCTGCCACAGCGGCCAGCTGTACGGGAAATCCGAGACGGTCGCCCACAGCGCGACATCGTAGCTGTAGCTGTACCCCCACCTGGCGAGGGTAAACTCCACGAAGTCGGCGAACGCCGGGTCGGAATTGTTGTAGATGGCGTTGCCGTTGATGTGTCCAAGCATGCGCCAGTTGTCCGTGATCGTGGCCGTGCCGTGGAAGTTGGTCCCGGCGAGGACGCTGCCCTTCACCCAGAAGGGCTCGACAACGTCGAAGGCAGCTATGTAGAGCTTCTCGAAGCTCTTGTCGTGCGCTACCCGTACGTCCCATTCCATGATCGCGATGGCCCCGAACCTCTCGAGCTTCTCCTTGAAAGTGTCCTCTAAAAAGAGCTTGTAGAACTGGACCGACGGGCCCTTCGGGTACACGTTCTCCTGCGGGGCCCCCAACGCCACCGCCACCACCGAAGCAGAGCAGAACAAAGGTCGGTGACATGAAGGCCAACCGACCGAGAGCATCCGAAGGTCGAAAGGAAACCAAGGGTTAGGTCTCAATGTCAGCGCGGCTTTGATTGTATTGGAGTGCGGTGAAGATCCCGTAGGCTACAGTAGTGCCCCTGTCCTCGCATTCGGTTTTACGTGCAGCATATCGGTACAGAGGATCGNGGGGGGGGGGGGGGGGGGGGGGGGGGGGGGGGGGGGGGGGGGGCAGCGCTGTAGTCCCCGTGCATACGTCACATGACACGCACATTGACATCAGTTGTGTCATGTAAGATTGGGGTGCGAAATCCCACCGCCGCAAACATGGTTTTATCAACCAGAGAGTACTGCAGTAGTTCCGGCCACCACTACCCTAGTTGTATGGGTAGTAGTTCCGGCCACCACTACCCTAGTTGTATGGGTAGTACGTACTTTGTGGATTTGCGAAGGAGGTCCCTCCTGGTACTCGGTACTGGTAATTCATATGAAAGGTTCAAGTAAAAAATAATGTTCGACCTGAATTTGTTACAATTTAAAGTCTCAATCAAGTGGTGGTGGCCGGGCTGTATGGTCTCTTTGGGTGACTGAAAAATATGGTGCATCAATGTGTATTCCTCACAAAGAGTGTTCAGCAACTCTACAACATGGTATCTATCTTCATGGGATTTCATTCCCCGATCACCTTCTTCGCGGACCAGGAGATGGCCGCTGGGCGAACACATGACGACATAACTGTATATATATAACATAAACGGAAGAATATAGACAAATGAACTGTGACCAGGGCGCCGCTGGGACTTGCTGGACGCTGCATGCGGCTGGTCATTCACTTGCGGAGGCCAGCAGAGATGAACTTGTCACGTGATGTTTGCGTGTGATGATGTGCTTTTCCCGACGTTCGTTCGTGTTCGGAAGTTGATAACCTCTTCATGTCGTAGCTTTTCACCGATGCACTAAACTAGATGAGTTTCTAACGTTAGCCAAGCCTAAAACAAACTAAAAGGCACCTCGGACCGAACGACAATCTGACTGGCGCGCTATGCCAACGACATCTCCAATAAGACAGGAAGGTAGCAGATGATGGACCCCCCCCAAAGACGGGAAGCAGCTCGTCAAAAGTGAGGAAGCGACAGGAGGCAGTGTACAATGTTTCTACTGTTTTCCCTGGCAACAATACACACACACAACAAACGACACACGACACACGACACTCATCCAGGCAGGCTGCGAGGAAACCATCGAGGCCACCGTGCGCAAACGGAGACTGTGTTTCGCGGGCTTCGTTATGCGCATGGAGGACAACCGCCTCCCCAAGCGCATGCTGTTAGGAGCGATGGCGGGGGGCGTGGGATACCGGGGCGGGCAGGAGAGCGACTGGGTGTCTCGTCTAGGAGAGGACCTCGTGGCCTTCAACATGGGAGACGAAAAGGAAGGGGGGAAATGGAAAGAGAGCGCCAAGAACTCGGAGGTGTGGTACAACAAGGTCGAGGACGGGGCGGCATGGTTCATGAGGAAATGGCACAGGCAGGAGGCGGAAGCGTCCGCGAAGCGCCAGCGCGCGCGGGAAGCAGAAGCAGAGAGTACGACCATCTCAGGACCGAAGAGAAAGAGAACCGGCGAAGCGGCGGTGGGGGGGAAGAAACGGCGAACGGGCACTGCTGTAGAAGCGAGTAGGGCGGCCGAGGCAACGCTTGTGGCGAACTATATAAACCAGGGATGTTGTTGCGCCCGGTTTCCCTCCCTGCCGTATGCTATACTCCTTTATGTATGTCCTTGTATTGCCTTCGGCCTCTGTGCTGTGTTTCTTTTTTTTTTTTATGACCTCCCTGCCTGCTCTGCTGTGTTGGGTACCTTGATCTCGCTTTGCTGTTGCCTTTGTTTTTTTGTACGGCTGGCTGTCTGCCCATCTGCCGCCTCTTTGCCCTGTTTGCTCCGTTACTCCCATGCCCTGGTGCGCAGTGCCTGGTGCTGGTACGTTACGTTACCCTTTCATTTTTTCTTTCGGCGGGTGTGGGAAGCGTCCTCCTTTATTTTTTTTTTTTTTTTTATTTTTGTTTTGTTTTATTTTGATCGGTGTCCGAGGGCTCTTTTCTCGAACAGTAGGTGCGATACCTGTTCTTTTCTTTCTTTCGATCATTTTGTTTTCTTTTTCCGAGTGGTTTGTATCCTATTTTTGTTTTTTGTTTTCTCGCGGCGTCGTATGTGCCGGGTTTTGAGACCACGGGCTCCCCATTTTTTGTGGACTATAGAGCTAATGTGAGAAACAACAACAAACAACACGACACGCGAGCTCGACAGCCCGACAGCATTGCGACAGACAGCAGATACGAAAGAGAACAGCTGGAGAGAGACTCCACAAAGGCTGGGTAAGCGTGGGATACGAGCGAAGCGGCGCCATTACTCATCATTGTCAAATCTTGCCATTACACAGGCGACGACCTGACGACTCAAGAAGATCGAATAAAAACTCCGCTATATTTGGCGGATGACTGCAGCCTAAATAAATGAGTTTGTTTGCTGATGATACGAAGGGATTGTTGCGAACGGAGGAGGACGAGACTAGTATATGTGTAAAAACTGAATGAACAGGTGACGACTGAGAGAGAGAAAACTCACGAGAGAGATGTTCGTGGGTCTGCGAACATTGGTATTGGATACATGTGCTGGATGATTTGGTGTCACGCAGACTGGTAAGATTGCCGTTTGGTAGGGGGCACCGCGATGATTCACAGGGCCCCCCTTGCTGTGGCAGCCGCTTATGAAAACTCCCTCTTTCGTCCATGTGAAGGACGGTCGTCTACCTCTCGTCAACTTAATACATCGCCAAAACAGTCTCACCCGATAAATAAGTGGCGTAGGCCGCAAACACTCGAGTTTTTTTGCCCCTCGAGGGAAGCCACATTGGGATGAGCTCTGCTGGAGACGGTGGTCGCACTGTTGCGAGCGCAGAACAGATCCGCCCGCCGGTGCAGGAGGGCAGCGATGCGGAGTTTGCAAGTTTGCAACTGCAGGTCTCACGATTGGCGGCCCTGGTGGAGGAGTCGACAAAGAAGAAGGAGCCTGGCAGCGTCGGGGCCGATGCAGCCAGTAGTGGCGGCTGGGTTGCCGCCACCGAAGGCCAACAAGAAGAGCCCATGCAGCCGCTCGGCGGTGGCGGGGGATTTCTCCAGCAGCAAGCGAGAGATTGTGGGCAAGGACCACGGTCGCTGCTGGAAGGCGGCTGGGCCAGCAGACCGGGAGCGAATCCTGAGAGACCAGCCGGAGTGGCCCCGGGTATAGGACCGGACTACGGGGAAGCGAGGGGGTTAAACCCCCCAGGTGAGATACCCGTGATTCGAGAAAATGAAGAATTCCTCGACGGCTACAGCATTAGCCACATGAAGAGTGTAACAGTCAATGCCCCGCGTCTCGAAGGGGACAGTCGCGGCCATGGGTATGACTCGTAAAGAAAGTCGCTTATCCAAGCGGCCAAGACTGTAGGACTGGACGGCCAATTGATCGGCAACAACGAGAGACATGCACCTGTCGGCAACCCAAACGTGC